TTTCCTAGCTAAGGCAATATTTTTCCTCCCCTAATATATATTTCAATTGATATATAACGAAACACTCTCTTGCCTTATAAATCATTGAAGAGCAGAGTATTGTTGGTATGTCTAGAGCATGGTGGTCTTTTTTCTTGCGACCCCCGAAATAAACTTTGCCACGGACAGTGTAATATTATTTGACCTATCCTCCAGAAGGTATTTAATATGGGAGGCTTCAGATTTCCCTGGCAAATTTGCTAGTAAGGGTTTGATCAGTTGGTCCCTTGCTTGCTCGTACTGCTCACAATGCAGTAGTAGGATATGGGTCATGCATTCGACATCCTGAGAACATAAACAAAGCCTTTTATGATAGGGGATGCCTCTTAGTCTACCATTTAAAACTTCCAATGGAAATACCTTTGATTTAGGTTTGGTAAATAAATATTGATAGGTTTCCTAAGACATGAGGCTAACTGAAAGTTGTGCCCATATTGGATTCCAGCTGCAATCGGGCCACAGATTACATTGGATCTGGATTGCAGGTCGCTTTGTGAGATGTCCCAAAGCCTTTGCCTCAGGGATACAAGGGCAGTATTGTAACCCAGTTGATACAAATAAGATTGGATTTGGGACACAATTTGAAAACTGTAGTAAAGACCGAATATACTTTGCCTGGAACCCATCTAACTTAGGAAATAAGCCGTTGTACCAGACGTTTGAAGTGTAGAGAAGTTGGGAGACAGATTTTGCAATAAAAAAAACACCTTATGGCTGATTGAACCTAATGTCCACCCCTTGTAAAGAAGAAATGGAGTATAGCAAGTTTGCTTAGCTCCGCCTTTTGGTATGCAGTCTGCCAGTGGCAATTCCAGTATTTTGAGTGGTGAAATAAAAGGAGCAAATACAGCAGACAGGGACAGTCATGGAACATCCCCACCGGCAGTAAGGCAGGCGTGCAACAGCTCAGGGACCCTGTGAGCTCAGCCCTGCACTGCTTTTGCGAGTGGTGCTGGGCTCGCAGGGCACCCAAGCTGCTGTTGTCCTTCTCAGCTCATGATGCCCTGCACCCCCCCCCCCCAAAAAAAAAACTGCCCAGGGTGACGCCTCTGTCCCAGCCCTCTCCCCACACTACGCCTCTGGATGGAGAAGAACCTTCAGTGATACGTAAAAACCCTGGCCTTGGTTTCTAATCTTCTATAGGCAGCATGTTACAAGCTTGTCCCTGTTTGTCTTTGATACATCGCAGGGAAAGTATGCTTGGACTGGTTTAGATACAGTGCAGTGGTACCTCGGTTTAAGAACAGTCCAGTTTAAGAACAATTCAGTTTACAACTCAACAAAACCAGAAGTAGTGTCCCTGTTCGAGAACTTTGCCTCAGTCTACGAATGGAATCCGAATAGTGGAAGGACACCGGCAGTGGGAGGCCTCATTAGGGAAAGCGCGCCTCGGTTTAAGGATGGTTTTCGTTTAAGAACGGACTTCTGGAATGGATCAAGTTCGTAAACCGAGGTACCACTGTACTTCCACTTGACTTTCTCACTTGAGTTTCTGGGTGAATTATAACTTCGGCATTATCTAGTCCATGAATGAACTGATTTAGATGTGATCTAATTCATGTAATTGGCTGTTGTGTGAATTTGGGCTGTGTGTGTGTGTGTGTGTTAGAGGACAAATAGCTGCGGCTTGATCCAGATTAAGCCTTGGTGAGGGGACATAGATGGGTTTTTATAAAGTATTTGCTTCCCACCAGACTGTTGCCCCTGCCCCTGGCCTGTTATTTGCATGGAAATAAAAGGTCTCATTGACACCAACTGGAATTCCCAGCCCTGCTGTAAACAGCAAGTGCGTGGTTCAAGTCCACCCAGGGACAGCTGTGGGCAGGATTCCTGCATTGCAGGGAGTTGGGTTCAAGGAATTCAGGTTGAGACCAAGCAGAAGGGGACAAAGGATGAATGCCTTTTACCCCTCCACACAAGATCCTGTTCCAGATCTCTTTCTCACACAAACCTTTTAAAAAAACACCTTGCTGATCAGGGTAATGGAATCATATATAGTCTGGCCTCTTAGAACAATCACTTCTGGTGGTTCCAAGGGATGGATTTTGAATAATTTCATTGTGCATCCATGCAACTTGGCACAGGAAACCCCAAAATCCACATGGTTCAAGGAATTCAGTCTCCATTGCTGGTATATCCAGGGCCGGGCCAGCAATGAGACAGCTGGGAGGTGTGGCAGATCTGCCCTCAGAGGAACTAGCAAGATGAGCACCACAACTCCAGAGTCGTCCGCAACTGGACTTAACTGTCAGGGGTCCTTTACCTTTACCTGGAGTCATCCTAGGAATCTTGGGACCATCTGCATACAAAGCAGATACTTTTCCACTGAGTATGTAAGGAAAGGGATTTACAAGGGGGAAGAAAATCAGGGGTGGTAAAGTAAGGGACAGCTAGAGAACGACCTGCAGTGGAAGTTCTGCTCCTTGAAAGACACATGAGGACACTCTTTGCCCTCCTCCCCAGCATTGGGTTATCCCCTTAGAGCAGGGGTGGGCAACCTAAGGCCTGGGGGCAGATCCGGCCCAATCGCCTTCTCAATCTGGCCTGTGGACGGTCCGGGAATCAGCGTGTTTTTACATGAGTAGAATGCGTCCTTTTATTTAAAATTCATCTCTGGGTTATTTGTGGGGCCTGCCTGGTGTTTTTACATGATTAGAATGTGTGCTTTTATTTAAAATGCATCTGTGGGTTATTTGTGGGGCATAGGAATTCGTTCATTTTTTTCCAAAAGGTAGTCTGACCCTCCACATGGTCTGAGGGATGGTGGACCGACCCATGGCTGAAAAGGTTGCTGACCCCTGCCATAGAGAGTCACTCCATCTCCCTTTGACTTTTGATCCCTCTAGTTCAGATTAGTGTCTCATTGACTGGCGCAAAAAGATGTTTCTTCAGTTGCAAGGGACACCCCCCCTCCCTTCCCTTCTGCTACTGCCCATGCCAAATATGCCGTGAGTTGGTAAACAGAGGCCTCCAGTCTCTGGAGCTGTTCCTTTGGAAGTGCTTGTCCTTGCTAAACTCAGTGTTTCGCAAGTGTCATTTAAGAACAAAATAGTGAACAACACCAGGGGCCTGGAGCCTCTCTTGCACTGGCAGGAGGCCACTGAAATCAGCTGGGCTCTGCCAGCAGTTAATTTGCTTCATTGCTCTTTTTCTATTCCTGTGCAGAGGGTTGTTTGCTTGTTTTTTTATTATGTTTATTTTTGTTTACTTATACAGTTTTACACTGGTTCTAGTCAGGTGTGTGTGTGTGTGTGTGGGCGAGAAATAGGCACACGGATAGATGTAGGCAAACCACCAGATATAAAATATCCTGGGATTTCTTTTAGGGGTGGTGGTGGGAAGCTGCCTTATACGCAATCAAGTCATTGGTCCATCTTGCTCAGAGTTGTCTGCATTGACTGACTCTCATTTTTCTGGCTGCAGTCCTGTCTAGAGAGGCCAAGGGTTGGACCTGGGACATTCTGCATGCAAATCAAATGCTCTGCCACCGAACTGCCACATTTAATGTATAACATAGCACATATAAAACAGTAAACCACAAGAGGTAGTAGTAGTAGCAATTACCTTTGTTTAAATGTAAGCCATAACAAAGAAAACGACATTCAGAGCTGAGCCACAAACTGGGCCCTTGCCTTGCAAGCAAAGGTGTTCTGGATTCAGTCTCTGGCATCTCCAGCTGAAACAGCCCTTTAAAGGGCTGTTGAGCCATGGAAAGAGTCAGCCAGGATCTGGAGAGAGCGGTGGGATGAGGCAGACACCAAAGTGTGTGGAATTTGCAGGATTGCATAGGTCTTTGTGTCCCTTTCTCTACCCCAAGACACCCACCCACATATGAAGCAGAATAGGGAAGTTAGTCATGCCCATGAATTTCAAGGTGTCTACTCTGAACAGGACTAACATTTGATTTTGTAAGGAATTTTTTTTAACGATAGGAGGATATGGAAAGCATTAAATCTGTTAAAGCTGTAAGAAAACCTTTTACAACAACAACAAAAAGTTGAAAATAAATAAAGGAATGAAGGAGGGATGGGGAGATATGGAGAAAGGAAGAAGTGAGAGTATGGCTCAATCGTGATCTTTCAGGATTTGTAGGATCGTCTGAATTGGAATGTGGGACATTTTTCATCATGAGGGCTGCACTCCCTTCTGGGCAATTTGTCAAGGGTCATGTGTTAGTGATGGGCAGGTTCTACAGCTTCTACAAACACACCCACCCCACTCTATCCTTTGTCCAGACAAGCAAGAGGCATTGCCAGAGCTCAAGGACACATCACAGCCACTCAGAAACACACAGGGTGCAAAGTGAGGGTTGTGATTTGGGGAGAGAAGGTGTGGCAAGGATGTGGCTAGGAATGGATGTGGCCTGTGGGTAGTTCTGAGGGCCACATGTGGACACCAGGCCTGAGGTTCCCCGATCTAAATTGAACCACTCTCTAGGGGCACTCCCTGCAAGGAAACTGGAACAAACTTTGTGATCTTATCCTCAAATTACCTGATAACTCTGAATTGTACAAGAGGTAAGGGACCTCATGCAACTATTCCAACGGTAGTTCAGTGGTCTATTTTTAAGTGTAAATGCACTGAGAGTTGTTGGTAGATTTCTGAAAACATGCACATTTTACAAACAAGCTATGATACATATGTTAGCAATTCCCAGGCTCCCTCATTGTCCTCTGTCAGCTCAAGTGTTTGACAAGAAGTGAGTGTGTGTGAAGGGGTGGGTGAGGGAGTAGGTGGTATTATGAAAGCCAGACTTTGACGGAAGCAAGAGCACATCATTCCCATTTTTTTTTATAATTTGCATAATTTATTCTAAAGGGCAAAAGCTATGGTTTTCCGAGGGCATCATTCCCATTTGCTCATTAGGTCAAAGTACACAGTGCTTACTGGACTTGGTTATTGAGAAATGGCTTTTCCATCCTTCTTGACTTCCCTTCCCCTCCTGTTCTCTCTTACTGCAGATGAACCGAGCAGGTGCTACTTCCATGATGGTGACGGAGTGTGCGAAGAGTTTGAGCAGATGACCAGCATCATAGACTGTGGAGTCTATACACCCAAAGGCTTTGTCGACCAGTGGGCGTCCAACGTGTCGGTCTCACATCATGATGAGCGATGCCCAGAATTGGTTGTGATAGGTCAGCCAGCAGCCAATCAAGTAAGGAAAGCAGATGGTCATTGGTTAAAGTGTTAAGCAGTGCATCCAAGCCAATGGGATGTTTTACTATTTCTTTGTGGGGGGAGGATTAAGTCGCATTTCAGTAGCACAGCTCATGCTTTGCACACAAATAGCTCCAGGATGAATCCCCGCCATCTCCACATAAAGGATTTTATTTATTTATTGCATTTATCCATTTTTTTGCTGCCAAAAGCTCAGTGGTGTACATGATTTCTGTGAGGTAGGTTAGGTTAAGAGGCAGTGACTGGTCCAGATTCACCCAGTGATCCATTACAGCACACTGGAAGCAGATATTACCTGAGACCAGTGGAGGCTGGTGCCCATTGGGACTGGTGGGGCAAAAGATGATTGAGCGTCTGGTCACTGAACAACTCCAGACACATCTGGATGATGCAGACCATTTGGATCCCTTCCAATCAGGATTCTGGACCCAAAATGGGACTAAAACTGCCTTAGTCACGCTATTCTATTATCTCCAGCAGGCTAGAGACAGAGGTGAAAACTCTTTCCTGGATCTCTCAGCTGCTTTTGATACCATTGACCATGGTATCCTTCTGGACTGTCTAGAGGAGTTGGGAGCTGAGGACACTGTTATACAGTGGTTCCGATCCTTTCTCCTGGGCTGTGTCCAGAAAGTGGTGTTGGAGGGGTTGTTCCGATCCCTAGGTGTTCACTTGTGGGGTGTCTCAGGGCATGGTCCTCTCCCCCAGGCTTTTCAACATCTACAGGAAGGTGCTCGGAGAGATCATCAGGGAGTTTGGGCTGGGTGTTCACCAGTATGTGAATGATACCCCGCTATACCCACCTGGGTATCATTTGTATACCCATGCAAATGATACTCAGCTTTAAATCAGAACCAGTGAAGGCAGTGAATGTCCTGTGTGAGTGTTTGGAGGTGTTTGGAGGATGGATTGAGGTAGAATCCTGACAAGACAGAAGTACTGTTTTGGGGGGACAGAGCAGCTCTCTGGTTCTCAGCAAAGCATCTTTCCATCAGCTCACCATCTGGTCCTTTGAAACAGACATTGCCAAGGATCGAACCCAGTGCTCCCCCCCCCCAGGGGTATTCAAGAGTACACAGTACTGGCACCTCGTTTTGTTGTTGTTAAGAAGTGTGACACTGTAACAATTTCATGATAAGTACTGACACCTATTTTTCTTGGGCAGAAGCACTAATCAAATCTATGATATTCTACCTGCAAAGCATGTGTTTTACCACTCAGCTATGGTTTCTCTTATGTTTATAAGATCATGCAGCTGCCTTGATTGCAAAATAGCCTTTCTTCTCCCAACTGACCTCCAGGGCCCCACTGGTTATTACTTTGCAAACCACAAGAGTATCTTTCCCCACCCCCATAACCACTGGAATCATTCCCTCCATAAATACATAAGCAAAGCATTGTTTGGGTTGGTGGTGGTGGGGTTCTAGTGGAAACTTATATCAACATTATGCTGCCTTCTTCTCCTGAATCTCCTGAATTGGTCCAGGTAGATCTGGGGTAAGAAAACTGGCCTTCCAAATTCCCTCCAGTCACTGATCTTGTCCAATGTCCTATATATTGCAACAGTTTACTAGGTGCCCCTGCTGGATGGTCCAACAGGAAATGAAAGCAATGGTCCTTCTTCAATTATTTGCCACTCAACAACTAAGACAACATTTTTGAAAACTTATATTCAGAGGTGCATTGCCTCTAAACATGGCGCCTTCCTTTCCCCACATCTTATCATCATTACTATTAAAGTTTATTTTTATCCTGCTTTCCAGCTCAAGGGCATCCAAAGTAGTGCACGACATATATCAAAATACAATAAAAACTATGAAACAGTACTGAGTCAAAATAAAGGGAGCCAAACCCACAGAGCCAGGGGACAAAAATAACAGCTTCAGTTGTCATAAAATCATGATATGAAAGTTTATTGTTTGTAGCAGAGGTGGGGAACTTCAGACCCAGGCCCATGAGGCCTCTCTGTCTGGTCCTCAGAGCTCTTGCTGGCCCTGTTCTGTACTCTGAATGTGTTTGCCTGGCTGGAATGTATCCTTGGACTCTGCTAATGCCTCTTGTTTGCTGAATGGGGGATTAGAGAGGGGGTCTGTGCAAGCTAGCGCACTGTACAAAGGTAACCATTACATTTGCCACTCCACCAATTTTCACCTCTGCCTGCCCATCCCTGGCATGTGACTTCCAGAAGGAAATGTGGTCCTTAGACTGAAGAAATGCCCCATCCTTGCTGGACATCAAAAACAAGATAGGGAGAGGGTCAAATCATGCCTCCCAAGGGAGGGAATTTAGCTTCGTTATCTCTTAATTTATCTCCTGAAGCAATTCAAATCTAGATTATTTCAGTGTATGTGTAATGTGTGTGTATGTGTGTGTTGGGTCTCAGGAGTTTTTGATAAATTCAGTCTTTGTGAATTCTGATATGAGCTGGCTTGATTCTCACATTCCATACTATAACATGCAAATCAGAACATAGTTATCCTTCAGTTTTGTTTTTTTGTTTTTGTTTTGTTTTTTGCTGTTTGTTTGTTCTCTTGGCAAACAAGGTGAGGTGTACAGTCCAATGATGAGCAAGCTCAGTGGGTAATAGTGGCCTAGTCATCCACTCTCTCAGTTGCCTCACAGGACTGTTGTAATGATGACTGCCTCCTTCCCCACGTTCCATGGAGAAAGGGCAGAATGAAAACACAACACAACTGACAAAATCAATGAAGATAATAATGGCAAAAATTTTCAACTCATCAGGCTTCATAGTTTTTTTTCACAACAGGAAATGAGCTCTTTACCATAAAAATCATATTTTTGACAGTCTGATTATCATTAATATATGTATTTTAAGGAATAGTTTCCAGCAACATTTGTTGAATTTAAGAATGTGACAGGGAACTTAAGACCTGGAAGTCAAGTGCAGCCATCCAAACCTCTCTATCTGGCCCTTGAGATTATCCCTTTACCAGCCCTGATCTATGCCTGGTTGGATTGCACCCTTGAACTGTGAAGATGCTTGCCTGGATAGAGATACAAATTTGTAAAGAAAAAGAAAAAAAAGCCAATTCTGATTCTTCCATGACTGTTGGGGAACAGGTTGTCTCCAATGTTAGTGCTACTCAGTAGAACTAAAGAGATTGATGAACGTGACCAGCATAATTGCAATGGGTCTCTTTTAAAATAGAACTGATTTGGATACAACCCATCTGCTCCTATACCCATGTTGCCCCTGGCTCCTATCCACCACTGGCCTGTGGCCCTCTGGCTAAAAAATGTCCCCCAACCCTGTTTTAAGAGGACTTTGGCATCCTGGTAAGCTGTGTTTCGGATGTCAGCCTTGGTGTCACTGAAAAAAGATAATAGGGCTTTCTTTGGGGGTGAGGGGAGACGGACAAGATAAAAATGTATTTGCACTTAGTGCCAGGGAAATGCTGTATCAAATGCGGAGGAAACAACTTCTAACAATGATAGTTAAATTCAGCTTGTGCCCTGCAAGGAAAGATACATATTTTTGGCTGCTACTGGAACTCTCTCCCCTTCTCCATATTCACCCGATCCATCTGACTCAAGCCTTCGACGGGCCAATGGAACGCCACTTAGCCAAGATTCCATCCTCCGTGTGCCTTGGCTTGCTCTGCATTGCAGCTCTGGACTCTTAAAAAAGCAGAGTAGCGGGGCAGCTGGGGGAGAGAAAAGAAATGAAAGCAAGCCAGTTACGAGGTACTAACTCATAAACTATTATGAGGAAACCTATTACAAAGTTCCAGCTGTCCAGCTAACCCAGGCTCCTTCAGGGTAAATGTTGAGCCTGGGCAGAGAACTACAGTGTCCCTAGATAAGGACTATCACCTGTGGGCAGCCTCTCTCTCTCTCATACTTATCCTCCAAGGAGCTCATGGTGGTTTCCATGGTTATGTGTAAAAGGCCATAGCTCAGTGGTAGAACATCTGCTTTGCATGCAGAAGGTCCCAGGTTCAATCTCTGACATCTCCAGGGAGGGCTGGGAAAGGCTTCCTCCTAGCTCAGTTGGTACAGCATGAGACTATTAATCCCAGGCTTTCGAGCCCCACATTGGGTTAAAAATTCCTGCATTGCGGGGTGTTACACTAGATGACCCCCATTGCCCTTCCAACTCTACAGTTCTATGATTCTGAAACCTAGAGAGCTGCTGCCAGTCAATACGAGCTAGAAGGATCAGTGGTCTGAACTTGGATAACAGTACGTTCCTTTCTATCCTCTCCACAGAACTGTGAAGTAGGTTTTAGGGAGAGACAGTGTGACCAGGGGTGGAGGAAGTGGGTGCGGTGGGGGCAGGTTACCCTGGGTGTCACCACTGGGGGGGGGGTGACAAAATGCCGGACAGCACTCACCGTGGTTCCTGCAGCGTGCCTGAGCCACACGTCTCTCCTGGGAGTGACGCGGCCCCAAATGGTCCGCCCACCGCCTCCCCCTCAGCTGTAGGGCGGCTGAGTGGGAGGAGGCATGCAGACTCCTTGGAGGCCCCATGGAGCGTCCTGCCCCAGCTGGCCTTGCCCCCATGGGTGACTGGCCCCACCCCAGGGTGCAGGGCATGCGTGCTGTCCCAGGCGCCCGATCGGGTTGCTCCGCCACTGAGTGTGACTGGCCTGTGTCTAACCCAGCAGTATTCATGGCCAAGGGAGGATTTGCACCCTGGTCTCCTAGCGCAACACACTCTGCTGTGTTACTTGTTATGCATTCCTTTAAAGCACTGGATGTTTTTGCCCTAGTTTCATAAACCATTCTTTGTGAAGCAGGAGATTATTCTTGCTGCAGTGCATTCCTCCTCCTTTGCAAAAAAATAAAAATAAAAATAAAAATGTAATTGCTGTAACTAAATAACAGATTCGATGTTGCAAATGTTAGATGAATGCATGAACATTAACACACTGTGGAGCACAGAACCTGTCATGCCACACACTATGAAGCTGGGGGACAGCAGGTTAAGAACACAAGATTACTCAACACATAGCC